GAAGGCTGGCAGTTCAAACCCACCAGCCACTCCTCGGAAGGAAGATGGGGCAATCTACTTCCGTAGTGATACTGCCTCGGAAACCCAAGGAGGGGTCGCCATGAGTCGGGTCCGACTCGACGGCACATAACAACAACAACACAGTAACATACAATTTACCTGTCTTGGGTTTGGTCTGACTCCCTTCCTTGGGAGGAACTTTGTCTGCTGTATCCCAAGTGCCTACACTGGTGCCTGGCACACAACAAGGCACCTGGCAGTAATGGCTGTTGAATGACTAGCCTCTGGTGCTATTCTACCTGGTATAGGTCTGGCTGAGGGCCCTGCTGACTGTCACAGCCAAGGCTCTGGGGCCCTGAGAGGACAGCTCTCCTTACAGAGCACACCTGGGTGAGACTCGTCCCTGCCCAGCCCGGGAGTGCATCACGTGACAGGAGACATCAAACACAAACACAGGAAGGCACAGGCTGCCATGACAAGCTGGGCTCCATAACTCCACACCCAGCCCAAGGACATGTGCAGGCTCAGGACACCTCACAGTGGCCCAGTAGACAGGCCCAGGGGCATGTGAGTGCCTGCATTTTTTTGCCAGGAAAATTGTTCCCCATTCCAACACAGTAACCCAACAAGTCAGTCTCTGCCATCAACTTGATTCCTACTCACAGTGCCCCTGGAGGACAGAGTAGAACTGCCCCAGAGGGTTTCCGAGGCTGTCAACCTTTATGGAAGCAAAACCCAAACGAAACCCACTACTGTTGAGTTAATTCTGGCTCATAGAGCCCCTAGAGGACAGAGTAGAACGAACCACCGACATTTTGGTTAGCAGCCAAGCTGAATGCTTTAACCCCTTCACCAGCAGAGTGCCTCAGTATTTTATGGTGCCCTCTAAAGATCACTCTGATTTCCAGGGCTCCCTGCCCCCATACATTTGAGAACCACATGCTGCCACTATTCGGTGAAGAACCGTCCAAGGCCCCTCCCATTGAGGCCACCTCTCCCACCCTCCCCTCCTGGCCTCAGGATCTCTCATTCCCTTCTACACTGTTGAGCACCCTGTCTTTCTTTTCCACCTAGCCAAGCCTCCTCCCTTTTCAAAGGTCAGTTTTCCCTTCCACCTTCAGTAAAGTCCTGCTCGGTGCCAGGCCCACCCCAGGCCCTGAGCTCAGGTTGTGCCTTACACAGCCGCCAGTCTTGGAGAGGATAGAGACAGGGCAATAATTCTAATTCTGGCAATCACAGCTAAGATACATGGAGGGCTTTGGGCTGCTGCGGATTGTGACAAGCAGGTTACACTTAATCCTCACAGGAATTTTACAAGGCAGTGGCGCAAATGGTTAGTTAAGAGCTGATGACTAACCTGTACATAGACCCAGAGGCTGTTGTTCAAACAGAACAAGGGGATACTGCATGGTTTAAAATCAGGAAGGGGTGCATCAGGGTTGTATCATTTCACCATACTTATTCAATCTGTACACTGAGCAAATAATCCGAGAAACTGGACTGTATAAAGAAGAACGTGGCGTCAGGACTGGAGGAAGACTCATTAACAACCTGTGATACGCTGATGCCACAACCTTGCTTGCTGAAAGTGAAGAGGACTTGAAGCGCTTACTGATAAAGATCAAAGACTACAGCCTTCAGTACAGATTACACCTCAATATAAAGAAAACAAAAGTCCTCACAACTGGACCAATAAGCAACATCACAATAAATGGAGAAAAGATTGAAGTTGTCATTTCATTTTACTTGGATTCACAATCAACACCCATGGAAGCAGCAGTCAAGAAATCAGACATATTGCCCTGGGCAAATCTGCTGCAAAAGACCTCTTTAAAGTATTGAAGTGCAAAGATGTCACTTTGAAGAGTAAGGTGTGCCTATCCCAAGCCATGGTATTTCCAATTGCCTCATATGCATGTGAAAGCTGGACAAGGAATAAGGAAGACCAATGAACAGTTGATGCCTTTGAGTTGTGGCATTGGCAAAGAATACTGAAAATACCATGGACTGCCAGAAGAACGAACAGATCCGTCCTGGAAGAAGTGCATCCAGACTGCTCCTTGGAAGGGAGAACGCCAGACTTCATCTCACCTACTTTGGTCATGTTGTCAGAAGGGACATATCCTGGAGAAAGACATCATGCTTGATAAAGTGCAGGGCCAGCGAGGAAGGGGAAAACCCTCAATGAGATGGATTGACACAGTGGCTGCAACGATGGGTTCAACATAGCAAGGACTGTGAGGATTCTGCAGGACCGGGCAGTGTTTTGTTCTGTTGCACACAGAGTCACTGTGAGTCAGAGCCGACTTGATGGCACCCAACAACATTAGCCAAAAGGTTTGTGGTTTGAATCCACCCAGAGGGAGCTCTGGTAGCATAGTGGCTAAGGCACTTGACTGCTAACCAGAAGGCTGGCGGTTCAAACCCACCAACCACCCCTCGGAAGGAAGGTTGCGCAATCTAACTTCCGTAGTGATACTGCCTCGGAAACCCAAGGAGGGGTCGCTATGAGTCAGGGCTGACTGAACGGCACATAACAACAACAACAACAACAACAAGAGGGGCCTCAAAAGACAGGCCTGGCAGCCACTTCTCAAAGGTCACCGTCTTGAAAACACTCCAGAATACAGGTCCACTTTGACACACATGTGTCGCCATGAGTTGGAATTGACTTGACAGCAACTAAAATCAACAATTTTGCAAGAGTAAATGAAGGCACAGAGAGGTTAAGTAACTTGTCTGAGGTCACAAAGGCAGTAACTGCTGAAGCTGGGATTTGAACCCAGTTTCTGGCTGCAGAATAGCTGGACAATGAATAAGGAAGGCAGAAGAAGAGTCGATGCTTTTGAGTTGTGGTGCTGGCGAAGAATGCTGAAAGTACCGTGGACTGCTAAAAGAACTAACAGATCTGTCCTGGAAGAAGTGCAGCCAGAGTGCTCCTGGGAAGAGAGAATGGCCAGACGACTTCATCTCATCTACTCTGGTCATGTTGTCAGAAGGGACCATTCTCTGGAGAAGGATGTCATGCTTGGTAAAATGGAGGGTCGACGAAAGAGGGGAAGGCCCTCAACAAGACGGACTGACACAGTGGCTGCAATGATGGGCTCAGGTATAGTAGGGATTGTGAGGCTGGCACAGGACCGGGCAGGGTTTTGTTCTGTTGCACAAAAGGTCATTGTGAGTTGGAGCTCTGGTCGCACAGTGCCTAAGGCACTTGATTGGTAACCAGAAGGCTGGAGGTTCAAACTCCACTCCTCGGAAGGAAGGTTGAGCAATCTACTTCCGTAGTGATACCGCCTGGGAAACTCAAGGAGGGTTCGCTATGAGTCAGATCTGATTCGAAGGCATATAACAACCACCACAACATGAGTCAGAGACGACTCGACGGCACCTAACAACAACAATAACAACAACATCCTGGCCACAGAGTTCGCTGTTTTAACCTCCGTGTGCTAAGTACAGAAAGAAGCTGCCCGTACAGAAAGAAGCTGCCATTGGGCGTCCAGTGGAGGAGTGACTGGACCTGCCAGAGGTCAGGGGAGCTTCATGGAGGAGGCTGGATGGCAGGGGTGGGGCCCGTTGCTGTAGGCTCAGAGAAGCATGACAGTGGCCCAGCAGAGGGGACACCAAGCTGAGTCTGGGGAGGGCCAGCTCTTTGGAGTGGCTGGCCTGTGAATGGGGGTCCTGGAGAGCGGCTGCTGGATCAGGAGGGCCCAGAACCCTCACTGGCAAGTCTGTGTTCAGTTCCGTGGGCAGCAGGGCCTTGAAAGGGTCTTTCTACTTACGGGAGTGACACGCTCAACTCACTGTGGCCAATGCTTTGGAGAATGGAGTGGAGAGGGACAGGGAGGAAGTGAGGGGGCCTGAAGCCCCTGGGCAATGGTCCCTCCACATCCTAGCTCCTCCACTCACTCTGGGATTTTAGCCAGTTATTAAATCTCTGAGACTCAGTTTCCCCCTCTGTGAAATGGGGAGAGATATGTCACCTGCCTGCTGGGGTTGCTGCGAGGTAACACAGGTAATTGTGCCCAGCAGAGGAGCCTGGCCCTGGCAGGTGCCCATGTCACTCAGGGCTGGGTGGGGGCCAGGAAGTCCTCCCTGAGAGGGGAATTTGGGAGATGGGGCCCTTGTTCTCCTTAAAATGCAGCCCATGCTCCTCAAGGCTGTGGGGTTCCATACTCACCACTACTTCCAGGTCAGAGTTCAGGTGCCGCTGGGTGTCAGACATCTGCACTAGGATCTCACCTGGGGCACAGAGTAGGGCGCTTCAGTGTGGGGGAGCCTGCTCTATGCACCCTCTTCCTGTCAGCAGCTGCCTGAAGCACGTTTCAGCACCAAAGTCCAGGGTCTCCCACAGGGGTCTTGGCCAGGAGGTCCCAGCCTTGCAAGCTGCAAGGACTTAGGGAAGAGGCTCAGACTCTAGGCAGGAGTCTGGACTGGGGGTGTGGGTGTGGGTGGGGCTATCTCCAGGGGAACTTCCTGGAAGAACACATCTGTTCAAGGAACGCCTTCCAGAACCCTAGGATGGTGGGCAGAGGCAGGCCCTGGACCTGAAGGGAGGCATAGATAGGACAGACGGAGGGACCTAGCACTTGGACAGCAGGATATAGCCTGGGGGTGGAGCAGGGGCTGGAAAGAGTGTCCCCCCCAAGAAGGTGGGGTGCAGTGGGAGAGGCGGCACTCACCCAAGATCTGCGAGGTGGAGCTCTGTAGGGCCTGCTCCCCGATCTTCTGGATAGCACTGAAGTACACCTCGGCTGCCTCGGACAGAGCTGCGGTGGGAAGGGATGGTCGGTTTGGCCCCTCCTCTGTTTCACCCCTACCCTTGCGAGGAGAGAGGGCTGTGCAGGGGTGCACCAGGGCATGGAGTGGGGTGTGTGTGGAGATGTGGCACTGGACAGAGGAGGAGAGTGGGGTGTGGAATGGGGTTCCCTCGGGCCAGCTGCTCTCAACATGGTACAGGATGTTGTCTGTGGTAGGTGCAGGCAGGTAGCCCTGTGTGTGAGCCCATCATCAGGGTGTGGGCCCGTCAGCAGGGTGTGGCTGGTGTGCTGTGAGGCTCACGGGGCAGGGGAACAGGGTGGGGTGAGGGCTGGGAGCTGGGAGCAGGTGTGGAGGCGAGTAGGCTTGGCCTTCCAAGTCCTAAAAGGGATGGAGTGGCACTCAGCTCTGGGTGTTAGGGCCTCACAGTGCCATCCATCCCACAGAGGCCCCAACTCTGTGGATTCGCACTAGCAGATGGGGTGGTGTTGGGAAATACGGGGGCTGCAGTGAGTGGGGGGAAGAGTAGCTTGCTTGCATGGGACTGAGCGAGTGGTGTGGTTGGCTTAGGGGTGTGTGGGAAAACAGCTCTGGATGTCAAGACTGGGGTTCGGAGATGGGACTGCGGATGGTGTGGAGTCGCTGAGTAGCATCTGGGTGACACAGCATCTAGGCGACACGTGTAGCTGTTGGGGGTGGGGTTGCGTAGCCCTGCCAGGCCTAGCTCTGTATCTTGTGAAGAACTTGAGGGTACCTAGGTGAACAGAAGTAGGTAAGGGGCAGAGCTGGGGACACCTGAATGAACAGGGGATAGGTAAGGGGCGTGGGGGTGTGGATTAAGTGGGGTGGTTATAAGATGTGTGAGTACAGGAAGGTGAGGGTGTGTGGTGTGCAAGGGACCCTGGCTGTGAGGGCAAGGGTAGTGGATAGGAGAGTATAGAGGTGAGAAGGAGAGGCGTGTGGATGGTGGGCCACTGTGGGGTGCAGAGAATATGGGTTGGGTGGGGGTGGGGGTGGTCCTGTAAGGAGGGCCTGGAGAGGCCAGGGCGGGGCTCCCTGTGGCCGGGTACTCACCGTGGAAGGCCCTCAGGTAGTTGTTCCCCAGGTACACCAGGTTCTCCAGGGCAGGGTTAAACTGCTCCATGATGCTCTGGACCCAGAGGGAAAGGGAGAGGGTAAGATTGGGGGGGAGGAGGAGGATGGGCTGAGGCAAGTCCTTGGGCCTCATTGCAGGCACTCAGCTCCAGTAAGAAGCCTCCAGACTGGGAGACCACCCAGAAACCTGGGGTCACCCAGAATCCCTGCTCTCAGCAGAGGCCTCAGACACTATCTTTTGGGGTCCCACCCTAAGCTGGCGTCCCCTTGCAGCCAGCTCCTGCTTGCTCCTCTGCCCTGGCAGACCTCAGGCCCTCAGAGGGGCCCCCTCCCCACACTGGGTTGAGCATGCCTCTCTGGGCTGCACACACCAGCACTGACAGTCGGGCAGGGCCCAGGGCAGCTCTTGTCCTTCTCGACACGAAGTGCCCCTGGGAGTGGGGTGGTAGCTGGATCCCTGTGGCCACCCTAGACCCTGGTCATGTGGAGAGCCCGGGTGGCTGCAACAGCCCTAGCCTTGGACTTCAACTCGGTCTTGGTTCAAATCCCAGCAGCTCCTTTCCCTCCCTTTGTGACCTTGAACAAGCTTCTTAACCTGTCAGGGTTTATCACACCTCATCTGTACCCATGTTCTTATGTATCAAACGGGAGATTACTTCCTAGCCCACAGGTGGGGCGCTGGGAGGCCTACAAGTGAAGGGACCTGCATGTTACAGGTGCTCAGTAAGTGTCTGTGGAGTCTGTAGGGAAGGGGCAGGAGATCAAGCAAGGGGCTCAGAAACTAGAGACTCCCCACCCCCTGGCTTAGCCACCAAATCCTTTCCCTCAGGCTCTCTGCATCTGGGGTCTGGGCTCCTATCCCTTAGCCTCAGCTACTCGGGCCCCTGTTCCCAGCTTCAGCCTCCCTGGGCGCTGTTCTGCTTTGTCCAGTGCTTGGAGGTTTCCGGGGGCAGGGGTGTGGGGGTCCTTCTGAGTGCCATCTTGGCTGGCCTCCCATTCTGGTTGACAGTGGACAAACCCTTCCCTAGAGCCGCAGTTACGGCTGGGACAGCCAAGGGAGCCCACCCCAGGGAGCCCACCCCATGCCCACAGCTCAGCCTGCCTGCCTTGAGCACACTGCCAGCCCTCAGTGCCCGTCCTGCAGAGCGGCCCGGCCTCTGCACCCGGGAGGCGCATGCCCAGGCCCTGGGCTGGCCTACACGTGCTCACCTTGTAGATGGCGATGGTGGACCTGTAGAACTGGTCCATCTCGGGGGCCATGGAGCGGGCACTGGCAGAGCTGGAGCACCGGGGGGCTGCCTGCTGGTGCCACTGCTCGTCGGGCGGCCAGGGAGGCTATGGAGTGGACCCTGGGGATCGAGGTCCTTGAGGAGGAGGTGGCAGCTTAATTATTCACCAGCCAGGGATGTCAGAATGTGATCTGGGGCGTAACCAGACCCGGTGGGGAAGGCATCCTGTGACGCGCAGCTTCGTGTGACCTGCCTTTCAATTATTTACCTCTCTGAGCTGCGGCTGGGGGGATGCCGGCAGGGCCACTCTCAAGTCCTCCTCAAGGGCGAGGCTTCCCAGCCAGCGGGGGACCCTTGGCTCTGGGGGGAGCCTGGCCTCCCACCTGTCGCCAGGATAGGGGCCAGTCCTGGGTGTTGCCCATGCTATTGGGCTAGAGTTGCTGCATGCCCCTCTCCGGGGCTCTCCCCGACAGACCCGCTGATGGGCACCGTTCTCAGGCCTCCTCCCTCCATTGGTCCCCATCAGACCTGGACCTGGAGGGCCAAGGCACGGCCGGCCACTGCGGCTGCCCTGTGCACAGCCTCCGGAGAGGAGGCAGCAAGGACCCGCGTGCCGAGGCCCGTGCCCTCTCTGGGTCTTGATCCCCTCCATTGTCAAATAGGGAGCCCTCTCACTCCACCCCACGTGGGCCTGCCCTGGGGGAAGCAGTCCTGGCTTCCGGGCACCTGACAGCCTATTCTGGGGACAGGCATCAGGGCCACCCCTTCACTTCCTGCTCTGCAGAGGAGGGGAGAGAAGGTGACCCCAGCCCAGGGAGCCTGGAAATAGAGGCTCCAAGTGGGCCCAGGAAGGTCAAGGCTGAAGGTCAAGGCTGCAGGGAGAAAGGAGGGGTTGCTGCACCCACACCACAATTAACACACACTGGTGAACTTGAATCCAGTTTATTTCAGTTTGGGGGCAGCCCTGAAGCCCTCCCCAGCAGCCTCAGGCACACTCTTACAATCACTTCCTTGTGAAGAAGGACTTAAGTCCCAGGAGTGGCCGTTGAGAGATAAGGGAGTGCTCAGGTGAGGTGGCTCTCAGGGGTGTGGGTGGCGGGTGTGTTGAGGGGCAAAGTCGAATGGGGCATCCTGCTCCTGGAGCCCGGGGGTTCCCTGGCTGAGGGGAGTGGAGACATCCCCTTTCTCTACCCTCACCTCCAGGGGAAAGGGCACTGGGTGGAAGGGGCAAGCTGTGCCCACCAGGGAACCTGGAGGGGCGCTCCGAGGCTGGGGTGGCCTTCCAGGGCCTGGGGTACACAGGCACCTTTAGTGTTTCAGTTGCCAGGGTGAGGGTTCTCATCGGTCAGTTGTCAGAAGTCCCTTCTGTCGGGGAGAGGAGGTGGGGGAGGCTCTGGGCTTTTCAGAGCCAGAACGTGGGAACCGAAGACGGAGGAGCAGCCTCGGGTAGGGAGGCTCCCAGGAGAGCAGTGGGCACGGCGGCGGGCCGGCTCTGCCCAGTGAGCCAGGCCAGGCCTCATGCCGCCCCGGCAGGGTCAGGGGCTGGGCTGGGGGGCGGTGCGGCCTCAGGGCTCCAGCAGCAGCTGGGTGAGCTTCTGGAACCGTTCCCGGTGCTCGTGGATGTAGACCTCCGTCTCCCAGAGGGCGCTGACCAGCACCGCATCGCTGACCTCGTCCAGCATGATGTCCGTCCCCAGCTGGGGGTTCAATCTGTCCGGGCCAGGGAGGAGGGGTCACCCCAGGACTCTCAGCTGGGCCTGGGGTGAGCCCAGGGAGCAGGGCAGCCCCTTGGAGAAGGGCAAGTCCACACCAAGGGCGGCCGGGCCAGGCAGGACGCGGCGAGCCTCACCTGAAATACTGGATGTCCGTCATCTCGCACCAGGCCCGGGCCCGGTCCACGGCCCGCCCGTCCGGATCCGTGCACTGGCGGGAAGGAGCCCAGTGAGCACTCGGCTTGCCCCACTGTCCCAGAGGCCCCACGGTGGCCTGAAATCATGCCCCTGGACCCAGTTATGGCCTTGCCACCCATCAGCAGAGGACCCTGGGCAGGCCCCGCTCCTCGGGCAGCTACTGCTGCCCACCCTCTGTGGGTTCTGGTTCTGCAGAGCCCGTTCAGGGTCAGTGGGGGAAGCTCAGAGTCAGAGCCCCTTGTCCCCTCCCCCCGCAGCTTCTGTCCGTCTTAGACTCTGGGCCGTGGTCGGAGAAAAGGGCTCACAGCGCGTTTGAGGAGCCTCCTGCCCTGCACTGAGACTAGAGTGGGGCCTCTCTCTCTCCCTGCAGCGGACACAGGACCCCCGAGCCCTGCTGCCTCCACAGGAAGAGGGTACGGGTGTCAGCCCCAGGCTGGAGACACCACGGGAAGGGGCCCCTACTCACACAGTCCACCACCATCTTTCCCAGTTCCTTGGCCCCAAAAACAGTCTTGGCCAGTTCCCAGGGATTGCTGGGACGGAAGACATCCACACAGGTCACGGGCACTTGAGGGGACCTCCCTGTCCCCAGGGAGACGACGATGGAGAGTTTCTTCACCTTGTGGCCCTGACCCTGTGTGAACAGGAAGGAGATGGTCAGAGGAGACCTTCCTCCTGGGGGAGAGTGACAGTGGCCTGGGAGGGGGTTGGGGGACAGAAACAGGCCCCCAGCAGGCCCCTCGTGTTCCCTGAGCAGCACCGTCCTCCTAGCACCAGTGGGCATCACAGTGAACTCTGTGGACCATGCAGGGAGCACATGAGCCTGAGTCTCTGGGTGGTGCAAAGGGTTAAGGCACTCGGCTGCTACCTGAGGGTTGGAGGTTCGAGTCCACCCAAAGGCATTTCAAAAGAAAGGCCCGGCCGCCTACTTCTGAAAAAGCAGCCACTGAACCCCTGGGAGCACAGCTCTGCTCTGACACCTGTGAGGTCAAAACCCTACAGACACAGCTGGGCACTGTCTGCAAGGACAGGCTGGTGCCGCCTGAAGAAAGGTCAGGGGCGTGGCCAGGGAAGGAAGGGAGTTCGCGTCCCTTGGTTTCTGGTGTTCACCAGGCCTTTACACCACGGTCTCACTCCCCCCACCAGTCTGCGGCAGGGGCACTGATCACCACACCTCACAAATGCGGACTCTCAGCAAAGCTAGGGGCAAAGAGGCTTGTCCAGGCCATGCAGTCAGGGAGCAGGGAGCTGCCCCATTACTCTGCTGCCCATTTGCAGGGTGACTCGGGTGAGCCCCCCCCCCCCCCGCTCTGGGTCTGGGCTCCTCACACTTAATGGTAATGACTTGGACTGGATGAGGGCTGAGGGCTCTTCTCAGCAGTTTCTTTCAGGAACCACGCCCTGCCCTGTCTGGCCCCTAGAGGGTGCTCCCACCTCTGACCACCGGGATCCCCTGCTGCACCACCAGGGGCTGCATCCGGGGCTTCTTGGTAACCACGCAGAGAACCACAGGCAGCAGGGAGGTCACACACGCGCCAAGGCATTTACAGATAGTGCACGCGGAGTCCTCACAGCACTCCTGGGGTGGATGTTTCCATTGGGTGCTGCTGAGTGGATTTTCAACTCACAGAGACCCCATGTGTTACACTGAGAACTGCCCCCAAGGTCTCCTTGGTAGTCATCTTTATGGGAGCAGACTGCCAGGTCCTTCTCTATGGAGCCACTAGGTCGGTTCAAACCACCAAGCTTGCGGGTAGCAGCCAAGTTCCTGACCATGGCCCACCAGGGCTCCTTGATACCGAAAAATCAAAAATCAAACTCACTGCTGTCGAGTCGGATCCAACTCACAAAGGCCCCTCCTTGGGTTTCTGAGGCAGTATCACTACGGAAGTAGGTTGCCCAACTTTCCTTCCGAGGAGTGGCTGGTGGGTTTGAACCCCCAGCCTTCTGGTTAGCAGTCACGTGCCTTAGGCACTATGCCACCAGAGCTCCTTGGTAAAATCAAACAAGCCAAACTCACTGCCATTGAGTCGGACCCGACTCATAGCAACCCTTCCTTGGGTTTCCAAGGGTGTATCACTACGGAAGTAGATTGCCCAACCTTCCTTCCGAGGAGTGGCTGGTGGGTTTTGGTAGGTACCGTAAAACCTGAGAAAGCTGGAACTTGTGTAAGGCAGAAACCTGTCAGAGAAGGAAAACTCGCCTATTTTCCACTGGCAGAGAGTAACAGAAAGGTGATAAACCTCCCCCCACCATCGAAAGTGGAAAACTTGCGAGACCCAGAAACACAAGGCAGGGCCCCTCAAGGTCCGGCTGTCGCAGGCTTCACTGTACTACTACCAACTGGCTCCAGGGCCCCTGCTTGCCCCACTGTCCACGCTGTCCCTCCCAGGATTTGAGGGTGCGGCTGCTCCAAGCAACTCAGGGTGAGGCCATGCCCTGTCCCCAAAGGCCTTAGGATGCCGTCCCTTCCTCCATGGAGCCTTTCCCTATCCTCCGGGCTTCTAAGCAAAGGCGAGCCTCCTCCTGGGGCTCTGCAGATCTCTGTCACAGCACCTGCAACCCTTGAAGGACATGTCCTCATTTACAGACTTTCCATGCCAGATGTAAGTGCTTCCAGGGCAAGCATGTGCCCCCAGGGCTGGGCACAGGGCTAGCCACAGGCACTACAACTGGCATGTACGTGACATGCATGCTGTCCGTCCATCCCCCACCTCACACACACACACACACACACACACACACACACACGCAACAGCACATGCTGTTAACTGATCATAACCCTCTTCACATTCAGTCCAGACTGGGCCTCAGAAGCCTTCTTAGCACAGTGTAGGCACAACCAAACAGGTCCATGTGCGAGATCACATTGCTGCAGTGTGCACAAATGGATGAATGTGTGAACAATAGCCTCTGCTCTCCTGAGAGGCTATCCTCAGTGAGCTTTGCTACAAAAGAGATCGCTGTAGTGTGGTCTGGTCCCTCCCCTCTCACCCGAGATGGCCCCCACCTTGCGGATCATGTCCTGGTTGTACTCGTGGATCTCAGTCATGGCGTCCAGCGTGGGGTTGTTGGCCAGCAGCCCACCATCCAGGAAGCGGCCGTTGGGCCGGAAATAGGTGGGGGCGGCCCCGCTGCTGCGGGCTGCCCTCCACACCAGCTGTTCTGGAGGGATGACAGAGGTGCCCAGTGGCACAACGGGATGCTAAAAATGTAGCCTGCCTCAGATGTCAGGGTGTGAGTGTGTGCGTGCAGGCCTGTGTGTTTGTGCGGGCACGTGGGGCTGCAGGAAAGAGGCCGGAGCACCTCGGAAGCAGGACCGACAGGGCTGTGCTGCAGACAGCACGTCCCGAGTCCCGGGGAAGGTAGGTACAGCTGGGTCCCAGGGGCCTCCTCCAGGCAGGGGCCTCTGCTAGCCTGCCCGAGGCCTGGTGGTGTGCGTGGATGGGGGGATGAGGGCGCCAGGGGCAAGCCTAGGACCACCCCCCCTGCACCCGTCAGCCTCTGCCTTCTCACACATGCAGCAAACATGGTTTGAACCTGAGGGCTGGGTTGGAGGCTTCAGGTTAGCATTCTGGCTGAACCGCGGCTCCCGTATGCACTCCGGGGCATCGTAGTTCCGGAAGAGATGGAGTTCGGCCGGCTGCCGGTCAGACAGGGTCCCTGTCAGCATCACCCTGGAGAGGAACCAGGAAGGAGCAGGACATGGGGTCACTGGTCCTCCCCAACTCACCTTTCTCCTTGCCTGGCATTCAACTCTGGGCCCTGGACGGCAGAGGGGGTGCTCCGCAGGCCCCCGGGCTCCCCTCTGCATTCCATGGGGGGCTTCTTCCCCTGTGATCAAAATCCCACCCACCCTCCCCCAAACAGGTTCTTCCCTACGATGCTGGGTGAGTGCTAAACGGGTACAACCTCAGGAGGACCCATTTGGCAAGTTTGGTCCTAACTGCCAACGGGCTTGTCCTTCGACCCAGCAGTCCCACTTCTGGGGATGCATCCTGCAAAGTAAATGGCGGGAAACAACTGAGGTGCCCATCAATAGTCAGTTAACCACACAATGGGGCTGTGTCACTGCCAAACGACTGGGGAAGCTCTGCAGGCACTGCACGGCCTGAGCGCCAGGGCTGATGGACGAGGGGAAAAAGCAAAGCTCAGGAGAGTGTGTTTAGTGCTGCCATGTGTCATAAAACAAACATATGTACATATTTGCTCAGTCAGAGGACAGCTCCAAAGGGGTCCATCAGCAGTGCCTGGCAACAGCAGGGAACGGCATGGCATGGTGCCTGCTGCAGGCACGCAATGGGGGAGAGGCTATTCACTGCATCACCTCTGGTACGTCTGAAACGCTCTACCACGTAAGTCCACGCCTACTAAAGAAAACATCTACTTATCTTGAGATAAACCCACCACTGCCACTGAGTTGATTCCGACTCACAGTAATCCTACAAGACAGAGTAGAACTGCCCCATAAGGTTTATAAGGCTGTAATCTTTACAGAAGCAGACCACCTCATCTTTCTTCCATGGAGTGGCTGGTAGGTTCGAACTGCCCTCCTTTTGGTTAGCAGCTGAATGCCTTAACCACTGTGCCACCAGAGCTCCAATAAAGCCTACAGCATGCAGTATTCCCAGGCGGAATTTCATCCAAGTACTAACCAGGCCAGATCCTGCTTAGCTTCGGGGATCAGAGGAGACTGGGCGTGTTCAGGGTGACAGGGCCGTAGGCTGAGGGAAAACAGGCATGCACCCTGAAATACTGCTGGGCGGGGAAACTGGCACAGTCCCTCGGGAACTAATATGCATGAAGACCTTTTGATCCCGGGATTCCATTTTGGAACATCTATCCTAAGGGATAATCTTAACCACCACAATGGAGGCTTTTTGCATAAGACTAATCAATGCCACATAATCCATTACAGTGAAAAATGGAAACACTCTGAATACCAACAACAGAAAACCAAATGAACCAAACCTGTTGCCTTCAAGCCCTGCCTGCTCACAGGAAAGCCCTGACACCCACCTTCCCTGATTTTAAACAATACACTATCGTCTTGTTCTGCCTGAGAGACAGCCTCTTGCTCTGTGCACAGGTCCCTCGTGAGTACAATTAAGGGTTCTGGAATTCCCATCCTTCCCAATGTTAGCCATAATTTGTTATGATCCCCAGAGGCAAATGCCTTTGCATTGTCAATAAAACACAAGTAAACATCTTTCTGATACTCTCTGCTTTCAGCCAAGATCCATCTGATAGCAGCGATGATATCCCTTGTTCCGTGTCCTCTTCTGAATCCAACTTGAATTTCTGGCAGCTCCCTGTCTATGGACTGCGGCAATTGTTTAATTATTTTCAGCAAACTTTTACTTGCATGTGATATTAACGATATTGTTCGATAACTTCCACATTCTCTTGTATCACCTTTCTTTGGAATGGGCACAAATATGGATCTCTTCTAGTCAATTACAGGTAGCTGTCTTCCAAATTTCTTAGTGTAAATGAGTGAGGGCTTCCAGCGATGCAGGCATTTATAGAAACACGTCAATGGGAATTCCATCAATGCCTGGAGCCTTGTTTTTTGCCAGTGTCTTCAACGCAGCTTGGACTTCTTCCTTCAATACCACAGGTTCTCCATCACTATCTCCTAAATTGGCTGAATGCTGACCAATTCTTTTGGGCACAGTAACTGTGTATCCCTTCCACCTTTTTTGATGCTTCCTGTATCATTCAATACTTTGCCCATCAAGCTCAGCTCACCACCATCGAGTCAATTCCAACTCATGTTGTTGTTGTTAGGTGCCCTCAAGTCAGCCCCGCCTCATAATGACCCCGTGGACAACAGAACGAAACCCTGCCCGGTCCTGTGCCAGCCTTGCAATCCTTGCTGTGCCCGAGCCCATCACTGCAGCCACCGTGTCAGTCCATCCTGTTGAGGGTCCTATCCTTCACTGACCCTCTATTTTACTAAGCATGACCCTCTACTTTACCATTCCTTCTCCAGGGAATGGTCCCTTCTGACAACATGACCAAAGTAGGTGAGACAAACTGGCCATTCTCGCTTCCAAAGAGCTTTTAAGTTACACTTCCTCTAGGACAGATTTGTTTGTTCTTCTGCTATCTATGGTATTTTCGGTATTCTTCACCAACAGCACAGTTCAAAGGCGTCAACTCTTCTTCGGTCTTCTTTATTCATTGTCCAGCTTTCACATACATATAAGGTGAATGAAAACGCCATGGCTTGGGTCAGGTGTGTCTTAGTTTTCAAAGTGACATCTCTGCTTCTCACCAGTTTACAGAGGTCTTTCACGGCACATTTGCCCGTGCAATACGATGCCTGATTTCCTGACTGCTGCTTCCATAGTGTGGACTGTAGATCCAAGTAAAACGAAATCCCTGACAACTTCAATCTTTTTATCATGATGTTGCTTATTGGTCCAGTTGTGAGGATTTCTGTTTTTTTTACATTCAGATGTAATCCATACTGAAGGCTGTAGTCTTTAATATGCATCAGTAAATGCTTCAAGTTATCTTCACTTTCAGCAAACAAGGCTGTGTCATGTACATATCACAAGCATTAATGGTTCTTCCTCCAATCTTGATGCCTCATTCTTCCTCATGTAGTCCAGCTTCTCAGATTACTCACTCAGCATACAGATTGAATAAGTATGGTAAAAGGATACAACCCTGACATACACCTTTCCTGATTTTAAACCATGCAATGTCCCCTTATTCTGCTCGAAAGACAGCCTCTTGGTCTATGTACAGGTTACTCATGAGCACAATTAAGTGTTCTGGAATTTACATTCTTTGCACTGTTACCCATAATTTGTTATGATCAACACAGTTGAATGCTTTTGCATAGTGACTAAAACACAGGTAAACACCTTTCTGGTATTCTTTGTTCTCAGCTAAGATCCATCTGTCATCAGCAATGTTATCCAATGTTCCACGTCCTCTTCTGAATCCAGCTTGCATTTCTGGAAGTTTCCTGTCAATATGCTGCTGCAAACATCTTTGAATTATCTTCAGATTTCATTTGTGTATGGTATTAATGATATCGTTTGATAGTTTCCACTTTCTATTAGATCACCTTTCTTCGAATGGGCACAAATACTGATCTCTTCCAGTCAGTTGGCCAGGTAGCTGTCTTCTAAATTTCCTGGCATAAATGAGTAAATACCTCCAGTGCAGCATTGTTTGTTGAAACATCTCAGTGGGTATTTCATCTATTCCTGGAGCCTTGTTTTTCACCAATTCCTTCAGTGCAACCTGAAATTCTTCCTTCAATTTTATTTGTTCTTGATCACACACTTCCTCCTGAAATAGTTGGACATTGACCAATTCTTTTTGATACAAGTGACTGTGTATTCCCTTCCATCTTCTTTTGATGTTTCCCACATCATTCAATTTTGCCCATAGAATCCTTCAATACTGCAACTCAAGACTTGACTTTTTTCTTTAGTTCTTTCAGCTGGAGAAATGCTGAGCGTGTTCTTCCCTTTCAGTTCTCTAACTCCAGGTCTTTGCACATTTCATTATAATATTTTACTTTGTCTTCTTGAGC